AACTGTCAAAAGGCGTTTGATAAAATAAAAAAGACTTATGCCAGCTTTATCATTAGCACACTACGATCCAAAAGCAGAAATTGTAGTGGCATCAGATGCTAGTCAGTATGGTATTGGAGCGGTGAATTTACACAAATAATTTGGCGGTAAAATGAAAGCCTTCGCTCATGCTTCCCGCTCGCTTCTGTCGGCAGAGAAAATTACAGCCAGATAGAAAAAGAGACTCTAGTTGTGAAGAAATTTCATAAATTTATTCTTCGAAGAAAATTTAGGTTGCAAACAGACCACAGAAAGCCTACTGAAGTGGATCCGAGATGGAAATGCTACTAAGTCAAGAATGTTGGTGAATTCTCCAGAAACAGGAGGAGTGATTCTTTTCTTGCCTCTAAACTGGAGTCAGAAGTCACCAGAGTAAGTTTCTTTCTCGTTTCTGACACAATTTGACATCTTCAGACCAGTGAATTTTCGTGAAGAATATTTACAACTGAATCCTTTGGATTAGGCCTACAAAGAACTTTTTGAACAGAAATACTTTTAGTTATTTTCTTTTATTTTCCTTTATTTTTTTTCTGTTTGAATCGAACTTTTGAGATTTCTTTTTCAATCATTTTATTTCAGATTTCTCGTCGGCTTTGGCCACCATTTTTTGCTGATCTAACGTAAAAGTTTTACCAGACAACTGTTTTTGTATTATTTCGTTTTACTTTTGTTTAATTTATAGTGTACTTTTAATTTTTACTTAATTTCCCTTTATTTGAATGAACTTTATTAAGTGAAATCGTTTTTTTGGTAATTGTTTGACTTGTTCAATTTTTTTTGTCAGTCGTTTAATTTTTCATTTTTACATCCTCGTTTTCCGACCAACATTTATTTTAATTTATTTTATTTTAATTCTATTGGTTAACTACTAATTTTCCCAGACTATAGTTTTTTTTTTTATTTTTATTTCTTGTTTTTAGTTTCTTTCTTTCTTTTTTTTTCGTCGTTTGGGCTAATTTTATTTTTTTATCTATTTTAATTTTTTTTTTGTTTACATCTCTAGACCAACTTTATTTTTCTTTCGTCGAATTTTATTTTTTCATCTTCGGGCGAAACTTTATTTGACATCGTTTTATTTCATTCTGCTAATTTTTGGTGTAATTATTTTATAGTTACACGACACCTTCATTGTAAATCAGTGTAATTTATTTGTTTTCTTATCTTTTTTTAAAGTAAGAGGAACTTATTTGTTTCCATTTTTTTAATCAGTTTTTCTTCATAGCATTATGTACCTCTATTTTGTATTGTTAATTTTTTTATCTCATTTTTATTTTTTGTTTTTATTTTTTTATAACTTTTTTTGTAGAAAAAATGCTATGGAATTTAAGTTTTATTTTCTGTTATCATTTTTCTCCCCCCCCCCCTCACACACACACCGCTACTCTACTTAAAATATAATTTATGTCGCAAGAAGAATTTTCCCGCTTGGCATTCTTTTTTAATGGAGGAGTTTAATTTTTCGAAATGGCCAACAAACGTCGAGGATTAGGAAAGATATTTTCAGGGTCTGTCTCTAAGGCAAACCAACCCGATAAAGGGGAAATAGATTTGGATTACGGGTTGTGTCAACCCCTAAAACCCAACAAAATGAAGACAAGTTCAAAGAAAACAAAAGAGAACAAATATTGAGGAAAATGTGCCAAAATCAATGGAAGCACAGCTGGGAAATCACCCACTTTTTGAGACTTCCCATCTATTTTGTATTATTAACATCGCGAAATTTTGGGAAAGGACCAATAGTTAATTACATCTTATTAAAGAAGATGGACCTTTGAAAGATAACCCAAAAATTACAGATGTTCAAAAGGCAAAGGGTTTCAGTCTTCCGGGTGGACAAGCGTACGGACAAAAATTGTCACCCCACGAAAGACACAGTGATCCGGTCACTGATGTCCCTGGGGGTTAAACTCCAAATAGTTTTAAAAGGTAAGGGATTTTTTTCACGTGGGATATACAGCTGTCCACAGGTAAAAATTGTATAGAAGTGGCGAGCCAAGAGTTGAGAACCAAAGACCTAATTCTAAGATCAGAATGTTATGGTCGGTTCTAGGACTACATAGTAGTAATATGAGGCCCCTTCTTGTGAAAGGAGAGCATGTAGCTGCCTACTTAAGTCAATGTGGCAAAATCCAAGGTGCTACTTCTGACACCCTGAACGGGGAATAGAGCTTCGATATTATGCTCGATCGTTTGACTTCGTCTCCTTTCCCAAATGTTTGGACTTTTGCAGACGGAAAATGTCAGTCATCGTGAGCGGTATTAAATCAACTTGTTGGAAGTGCGGAGAGGTTGGTCATCTCTTCTCCACCCTGTCCAGAGAAGAAGGCGTCTGGAGTTCTGGCCGCAAAAGACCCAAATACTCCAGTGGCCGAAACTTATAGTTCCGTCTGAGCCCCTCCCCACATTTCTACAAAATCCAACACCACTCGCAAGTGCGAGTAAGAAAAAGGAAGAAGGAGAATGGCGTGACGTTTGTAGGGGTAAAGTGAAGAGACAAACAGCGGAAACTCAGTCCCCTGAAGCCCGCAGGACAAAAGTCATCTACACCGTATTCCCTCTACCAGTATTAAGACTGACGCCCGGAGTCGTATGTTGTTACCACAACGGATATACAGAAGTGTGAGCCTAGTTGGGACAAAATTCTGAAATTGAGAAAGGAGCAAGTAGAGAAAGCATTGGCAGATTCCAAAAAGATATAAAAACTATGGACGGGAAGAACGTTTAACCCCCACCCTCATACCAAATTTCCCTAAAGCAAAAAAAGGTTTTAACAGTAGTAAGTTCAGTCTCTGGTGCACGGGAAGTATGGGGCATGATCCAGGAGGCCAACGATGCCATCTCAACGTGAACCCATTGACCTATTTTGACAATGAAAACTTAAAAATATTACGACAGTAATGAGCTAGGATGATCCCGCGTTTTGGTCACCCTTCCCTGTATAGAGCTTTTAAATTAACGTTTTCTTTGGACATTGGCTGCCTGTCTCCTGATACCATCAGAAAGAGTGAAATGGGCCTAGACGGTTGGCATCCTCACCCCAGCCATGTCCAATGCAGAGGGACAATCCTAATCGGTCTGATGTCTTCTCTGATTGGCTAGCGTGAATGCCCGCGGCCTAAAGTCGGAGTCTCGCAAGGCGAATCTTGCTCGTGACCTTCGGTGAATCTAGATGAATGTACCTTGTGTACAGGAGACCCGGTTTTCAAATCACGACTGCGAATGAGTTCTGAGGGTGTTTACCTTTATTTAGCATGTTTTGATGGACACTCAAGAGGTGTTTCCTGGCTAGTGAGAAAGCCTAGATGCGGCGGGTGCTCTTATCTCCGTAGGTCCGTCGCGCAGTCTTTACGTGTCGGATATTGCCATGAATTATTAGGCTCTTCGTCTCATTGCGGTTTATGCGCCAAATGACCCTACTGAGTGCCCTGGTTTGTTTCGGCGGATCGAGCAGTTTTGACGACATCCCTTCGGGTAGTTTTACTTGGGAATCACAATGCGGTCCTTGACCCCAACATAACATCGTATAGGGCAAAGATCGGGTACTAATAACCCGGATATGAAACCATTTCGGTATTTATCGAAAGGTTTGATTTAGTGGATAAGTATCGTAATGAGCACCTCCTGGATGTTGTGTGAACTTGTACCAATAAGCTCGTCAACGGTGGGGCGGTCTACCTACATTGTCCGATTCCTAGTTAAGAGAGTCGATGTGTGGCTCTTATGTTTTCCAAGCTTCCATTGTATCGTTTACACAGATCATAGGCTCGCCCGTGATACAAGTCATATTATTTAACCCATATGTGGGGGAAAAAGAGGTGGATTCATACATTTCCATGGGGTATTTGCGCACAAGTGAATATTACAAACCCAACTGGAAATAGAACTCGGATCTCCGACATCCAATTAGGGGCCAATATCTATTAGACCACCCGCATATCCAAGTTTAAGCAGCACAAGGCAGAAATCTGTGAAGATTCATTACCAACTGAGTCTTGAAGTTTTATGGTACATATGAATGATTAGAGATTTGTGATCTGCAAAAAAATCGAAATTTCCGTGGCTGAAATGATTAAGGAAACGTCCATGAAAAAATAATAAATACACGGGTTCCCGTGAAAGATCTTTGCTGTATTCGCTATGGGTGTCGAAAAGAAACCCACAATAATAAGGCGGAGTGAAGCAAAATGAGGAAAGAAGGTTAGGAAAATTTAACACGCAGAATATGAATAGAAAACTAGAGAAATAGATAAAACTAGAGCGTAGCATATTTACCAAGTTTGTGTAAATAGAGAAACAAATATGACAGAAAGAGCGGTAATACCGCTGAAGGTATTGCTGGAAGCAAGACAATACAGAAAGCTATGGTTAGATATTAGCGATCATGTCCTGAAGGCTTAAAGTACATCAAAATGCTTACTCCTTGTGCCTTGCTTAACAATCGAAATTTCCGTGTTCGAAGTGATTAAAGAAACATTCATAAAAAAAATAAATAGATTCTCATGAATGATTTTCGCTTTGGTCGCTAAGGGAATCGTAGTGTGTATCGATCCAATGTGATAAAATCCATGAGAAGATGGTTACCCTGCATGATCTAACGTTGTTCTTCAATACAATTAAGTGTGTTTAAGTTGAAAAAGAGCTTTCAAATATACTTTGACGTCATTATAACCTTACCTTCTTATGGAACCCAAAAAGTAGAAGTAGGAGCGTTCTTTTTTTTTTTTTTTTTTTTTGTAAACTCGTAAAAATATCCGAAATAATTTTAAAAGTGTGACCTCGTGTCTCGACGCCATCGTAAGGGCTTGTGGCAACAAGAATTTGCGCCGAGGTTAATTGAAATACTGTAGTAGAAAATCGATAAGTACAAGTAGGCAGACGATTGTTCCTCGTAGATACAAATCAGACGCAGTTATCTCCCTTATTTTCATTGGGTTTTTTTTCCATCGACGCTTCGTCTTCGAATGACTTGTCAATTTTCTGTTTTCTTGTTTTCATTACTTCTTTCCCATTACCCACTTTTTCACGTTCCAATGTCTATCATTATTTCGCCATTTTTCTCTCTGTCTCTTTTTCTTTCTTTCTTTCTTTCTTTCTTTCTTTCTTTCTTCCTCAATTTCCAATGTCTCAATCTCCTTCTTCTCTCTCTCTCTCTCTCTCTCTTTCCATGTAATTTCTTTATTCAACTCTCTTCTCTGCGTCTTTTTCTTTTGTCTCGACCTCCTGATTTCCTTTCATGTTGACAAATTTTCATTCTCTTCTTTTCTTCCCCTTCTCCTTCCCTACTTAGTCTCTTCTTCTTCTCCCCTTCCTCTCACTCTCTTTCATCTTGATTCTCTCTTTTTTTTCCTACTTTCACCTTCCTCTCTCACACTTTTACTCATTGACTCTCTTTCTTTTTCCCTCCTACTGTCTCCTTTTTATCGGTCTTCTTTTCACTTCATGCTCTTTCTTTCTCTTCCCTTACTCCCTCCCCGTTCCTTTCATACTGACTCTCTTTCTTTCTCTTCTCTCCCTTCTACTTACTACTTTCTCTCGCTCTTCTCTCCTATTGATTCCTTTTCTTTCATTTCCCTTGCTCCTTGCTTATCACTGTATCTCTTTCTATTCTCTTACTCGGCATTATATATACACACACACACATATATTTATATATATATATATATATATATATATATATATATATATATGTGTGTGGGGGGGGTGCGCGCGTTGTGTTTGTGTGTGTGTCTGTATTTAGAACTTCAGGTAAAATACCGTGTGCTCACTTTAGACTAATTTTATCGAGTTAGAACATGAATCATTTATATAAGTATAAAATATCTTTTACTTTTTATAAAGCAGTAATAGGTAGAGTACAGACTAATATTTCAGCAAACAATTTTCCCGTAACCATTTAGGCTTCTGGCCAAACAACAGAAACAAAAAGAACGATCATCCCGAGTCAAAATTGTAACAGAGATCAAAAACTGCATCGAAATAGCGAATGATGTTTTCTAGAAACAAACAAAGTATAAACATCTTACTTATTATAAAACGCAGATTGTGTGTGTGTGTGTGTGTGTGTGTGTGTGTGTGTGTGTGTGTGTGTGTGTGTGTGTGTGTGTGTGTGTGTACGTTTATATACTGGATTGAATTTCCTACATTTTTCAACCGATTTCAACAAAACTTCACAGGACTACGTAAAATTACATTGCGGTGGTTGACAGCGCCAAAAATTGGAAAAATACAATTGTTTTTGCAGGAAATCAATTTGAAAACACGATAAAACACGAGTCTGTCGCCATAATGAAATGGGGACAACAGATATCGAGTTATACTTATTATAAAACCCAGGTTTTGTGTGTGTGTGTGTGTGTGTGTGTGTGTGTGTGTGTGTGTGTGTGTGTGTGTGTGTGTGTGTGTGTGTGTTCGTTTATATATGGGATCGGATTTCCTACTTTTTTCAACCGATTTTAACAAAACTTCACTTTTTTTGGCAGGTAGCGTTTCTTATTGTCTTGCACACATTTTTCTTTATTTTTACATTCAGAATGCTTTAAAAAATTCCATTTACAAGACAATTGTTTATAATAAAATTCTATTCAATCGATAGACTCATAACGATTGAAAACAATGTTTTTGTTTGAGTTTGGGTTTGACCAATTCGTAAAAAAAAAAAAAACTAATTAAGACATGCGTGTCCATCAACCTTAAACAATAATCTTTGTCAATTTTATTTTTCAGTCTTTATGATGGTCGATACTTGATCTATCTCTTATTGTAACATCCCCGGGCAGCGCCGGGCTCTACTGCTAGTATAGAAATATTTCGTTGTAAACAAAAAAGAAAAAGAAAAAATGAGTGCTAAACTGCTAGTATAGTATCTAGTCACCTGTAGGACAGTAAATGCTGGAAGATTCCCTGAAAGCTAAAAAAAAAAAAACTAAAATCGACAGAGATGTGACCCTACCTAAGAATTCTAAGACGGTAAGACATTTATGTTAACAACGAGAAAGAAAATGTGAACCATAAAGGTATTCATACATAAACTAAGAAAAAGACAGATTTCTATGAAACACTATAGGAACAGACGGCTTGGTAAATTTAATACTCACAATACCTACTAAAGGAAGATTAATTAGAAGGGAACGATGTGCAACTTGCCTAATATTTGAATTAATTGCAGAAAAGGAGCTTGGAGCGAAGGGGTAGTTGTGGAGGGCTATGATCGTACATATCTATTAGGAAGACAACAAATATATACTCGAAATCAACGTTATGAAGAAATGCGGAAATGTTCACAGCCTGACCCACTTACTAAATGATAATGATGAGATTGACCGTTTCTATGCAGGAAACATTCGACCTTCATTGACCAAACATTTAGCGTTACTGTCGATTGAAAATTATAAATTAATTCTCTTAAAGCTGTTTTCCAGAAATTAGACTATACTACAGTCAAATCATTTTTAACGGAATCCTATATTAAAATCATTTTCAATGCATTCTTTAGCAAAGATAATGGTGAGATTGGCCGTTTCCATACAGGAAACATTCGACATTCATTGACCAAACAGTTACAGTTATTGTCGATTGAAATTCATAAATTCTTTCTCTTAAAACTGTTTTGCAGAAGTGAGACATTACAATAGACAATTCAGTTTGAATGGATTCCTATATTAAAATCATTTCCAATTTATTCCTATGGCAATGGTAATGATGAGATTAACCGTTTCCATACAGGAAAACTTCGGCCTTCATTGACCAAACAACTAACGTCACTGTCGATTGAAATTCATAAATTCTTTCTCTTAAAACTCTTTTTCAGAAATGACACTTGACTATAGTCAAATTATTTTGAATGGATTCCTATGGCAATGATAATGATGAGATTGACCGTTTCCATTCAGGAAACATTCGGCCTTCATTGACTGAACAATTAGCGTTACTGTCTGTTGAAATTTATGAATACTTTCTCTTTTCCAGAAACTAGTCTTTGCTATTGTCAAATCATTTTGAATGGATTCTTATATAAAAATCAGCTCCAATGTTCCTATAGCAATATTGATATTGAGATTGGCCGTTTCATCCAGGGAACATTTGGCCTTCATTGACCCAATATTTGTGGACTCAAATTTATAAATTCGTTCTCTTGAAACAGATTTTCACGAGAATAATGTTCTCAAGTCCATTAACTGCTTTCGCTGTTCTTAGTATTGATTGGAGTTTCCTTCCTCACCTTCTGCTTATTGTCGTGTGAAATGTCAAAATCTTCATTGTATCATTATTTTCCTTTGTAACTACATTTGATACACATTTTTGTTGATGTTGCTATTGGAAGTCTTCAAGTGATTGTTTTTGCTATTCGTTAAAACCCTTCGTCATTCTGTAGAGCCAGTCTATAGGATCTCAGAAAGTATTGTCTTCTTTAAGTTCTACAGGGTTCACTCACTTGAACCCATTTTAATCATTGATCTCAACTAACGGTTGTATAAAAAAAACTGACCAAATGACTAACATTTTAGCGGAAGGGTGACTTGATTAGGTCGAGAAAATTTCATCATCTTCTTGTACAACGACTCTATCAAATGAAAATCTTAGTGAATTATTTGCTTTTCGTTTTTAAAGTATATTTTTGTTATGCTGTTTAAAAAAAAATGTGTAAGGGAAAGAGTTACTAATATTTTATAACCGACGACTATAATGAGTAAATAGTATACCAATGATTGACTAAATTAAAACATTCGTCTTTTCTGATGCTAATTGTTGAAACTAGACTTGATATTGAGTGATTTTAGAAGGAGAATTTATTAAATTGGAGAGCCTCGTTTTGATTGCTGTAGTGCGGTATATTTTCAGTTTGTTTTTGTCGTTCGAATAGGAGTCTTTTATAAATAATTGAACTATAAACTATTTTTTTCATTTGTTTTCTTTCCTTTTATTTATTAACTATTCTGCACCAATTATTGTTTTCATCAGTATTTATTTTTCCGGTGGGGATTCGCAAAAATATTTATTGCTGTATTTAAAGTTGTTCGTTATTTTTTTTGTTATAGTGAACAAGCCTAAAGTAATTACTGGCGCATTCTAAATTATTCAGTAGCGACATACAGTTGTATATCCGAAGTACTGCATAAACTGTCTCTGATTTTAACGGTGAAGTAAAAAAAAAAAAAAAACTAAGCTGAAACTGTCTCACATTAGTCACTTTCTGAATCCGCATACTGACGCACAAAAAACTAAAAAGCCTCGGCTGCATTCTGTTCGGGCCCAGTATTCAAAATTCCTCAAGCTTTGAGTATCGTCTCAATATCAACATAGTAGTTCTTCCTCCACCTATGGATAAAATAATAGGACTTACAGGGTGTCCATAATGTCTCCTTACAATTTAAAAAATATATTACCAAGGCAATTGATGAGATATCTTAATCAGATTTGTTCTGGTTACTCAGTCGTCATCAAAGTTTTTAATAACATTACATTTGTATATTTCAGGTTAAATGAAACCCTGGCATTTTCAGACCAGTGGATTGGAAGGCATGGTCTAATTACCTGACCACCTCATTTCTCCAATTATTATTTCCCTGGACTTCTTTCTATGGGGTGATGTTAAAGATACCGTGTATCGAACACAGAGACGAGCCATCACTGATCTAAAGCAAAAGATCACTGACGTCATTGCCATCATTGATGAGGCTATGCTACGGAAAACATGGCAAGGAATCGAGAACCATCTTGATGTGCATCGTACAACTAATGGAGCCCATCTAGAAGTGTATCAAATTAATTAAAATTTTCAATATCTATTCCTCATTTTGTAACAACTTCATATTTGTCTATTCATTTCCTTTTGTAATATTTTTTTTAATTGTAAAGAGATTTATGGACACCCTGTATATCTGAACAGAATGTTAATGCAATATTCCCGCGCAAAAAGAAAGGAATTATTGTTACAATCCAAATAAAACCTTATTTGAATAACCCACAAAGGGCTTATAAGCCGTAAAAATCTCTCCCGGTTAATCGTTGGACATTGTACAAGATTTTGCAAGATTATCCATGTACATAAATTGTTCGGGTTCTCCTGTAAAAACAAACTGCAACCTGAAAACATTTCCTATTTAGTCGGAATGTGTAATAGGAAAGAAACCCTATTTTATACATACCATATTAAAACACGCCCAAACTTTATTTTCTACTAGTTAACATACAATATTGCAAACGTGCCAAAAACGATTCCACAATACAACGCGCACCATTTAAATCAAACCGTCTATTGGTTAGAAATTAATATCACCATGTAAAATATTTAACGAATCAGATTAGAGTAAATCTAAATTTTTCTCAAGCCTAATTTCGAGAAAAGTTTTTAATAGAAACCCCACATATTTGACTTTCTGGAATTAGAGATGCGACTGACCCCCCCCCCCCAACCTCCGCTAGCGTGTGCTGAAAGAAACATGTATTGGCGAATTTATTAGCCATATACAAAACACATGAAAATATGGCCTTCTTGTAATTTATTCCATTTCACCTCTATTAACATTGACGGTCATTGTATTACATTCTGTTTGCCACTGTTTTTAGCCTAACTAGAAACACATAACGTAACAGAGTAAAAAAAAAAATTAACAAACTGACAATAATTTAGTAATTGGTAAAGTGTTGCAAAACTAAGACCCTTGACTGTCGCGCGCTTTCAAAGCGGGCAATAAATCGCTACTGTTTTCATAAGTCTGTCGGGAAACGGTAGTCGCGACAAGAAATAATTAGAATAAGTACAAATTTTATAAAATATGTTATTACTCTGATTTTTTTGCTGAAATCCTCATAGTATTTAGTATTGTTGAAGTTATCGCTAACATTTTTGTC